TGCAGTTTCCTAGCTTTTGTGGTTGACGAAATAATCTCCTCGCCAAACTTTCCACGGGCCAGCGCGTGGAACCCAGAGCGACCTGAAAGTTAAGTTTAAATTCGCGAAGTCGTACTTAGGCAGGGGACATTATACCATAATTCCAGGTCCCTAACTTTTGGGCTTCCCGAAATAATTCTCTCATCAAAACTTTCACGGGACGGTACGAAATACCCTGGCTCGCGGGAAAGCTAAATTAAATTTGCGGAGTTGTATGTGGGCAGAGGGCATTACCGTAAAGCTTTAGCTTTCTTGCTTTTGTGATTCCTAAGATAATAATTTTCCCGCCAAAATTTTCAAGGGGGTTGTACATGATACCAGTACGCGCAGGAAGGCTAAATTCAAATCTTTGAGGTCGTAGATGGGCAGGAGCTATTATCATGAAGGTGCAGTTTCCTAGCTTTCAAAGTTCCTGCTATAATGATTTTTCTTTGCCAGAACCTTCGCGGTACGTGGTACCCAGAGGCAGGGGAGCGCTAAATTTGCGAGGTCAGAAACGGACGGGAACACTGTCCTAAAATTTTAGCTTCCTAGCTTTTGTAGTCGCTGAATTAAAATTGCGGACAGAATGCGTCGGGCACACACACACACACACACACATGCACACAAACACGACAAGCCCGTGATAATATGCGTTTTGTGCAGCTGTTGCACAGCACAAAATGCATAAAAAACAAGCGAACTCTAATAGGTTGTACAGCGCTTACGATGAGCCCAGGGTAGTGAAGCACTAAGCAAGCCGGTGCACCCATGCGGTTTTTGCACGATTCCGTCCTACAGAGAGATTGTCTGTACTGATAAAGTGTGACTGCGATGTTACAATTCGGAAATCCAGCGTACCAGTACGTAAGTACCACGCCCAGGCAGAAACTCATGTTATTTAATTGGTGGCCCGTACACGGACAGAAAACATCCTACGAAAAATGCCGCTTCCTGCTCAATCTACGTATCGAATTAATTGGGCACGAAAAGTTCTCGAATTAAATATTCACTTGGTCGTAAGCGAAACCCAAGGGTGCTTTAAAAGTGCATTTGAAACGTTTAGGTCGTACATAGGCACAGAACATCCTCGTAAAGTTCTAGCTTCCTAGACTGACTGATTGGGGAAATCGATTCCCGTTACATATATTCTTCAAACACGCGATACAGGAATACGCCAAAGCTCATTTTACACCCACACGCTCATACAAGGAAAACAAGTGTCCTCGTAAAATGACAGCGCTTTAATCAGCTTATTTTTCAACTTAGCATTTAGCCG